ACCCTATCTAAAAAATATACCAAAGCAAAAAGAGCTGGGGGTGTAGCTGAAGTGGTAGAACCTTGCCTACCCAGCACAAGGCCCTCAGTTCAAACCCAGTACTGCAAAAACAAATAAATAAATGAGAAGAAGAAAAAAACTGAAATTATTCCACATTGAAGATGACTGGTCAGAGCACATGACAGGCATCAGTAAGTATCCTCATTGAGTTTGGGCTTTTTTGTTTTGTTTTGCCAGGCTGGGGATTAAACCCAGGGCCTCCAGCATTGCTCCATCTTTGAGTCATACCCCCAGCCCAAGAGAAAGATGGTTTGGAAAAAACATCTTCACATCTGGTTTTTAAACCATTTCCTTTACTTCCCAACATGCTGTGGAGCTACTGGGGAGTAAATCTGAGCCGCCATGAAGTGGTCAAGAGCTGACCAGGGTCCCATTTAACAGGGGCCATAAGACTGCCAGGTTTAGCAAAGATTCACATTTATTTGCATGCGAGAAAAGGAGACAGGCTCTGGAAAGGGAAAAGCCAAGAAGACGAATAATACATTTCTTCCTCTTCCCAAGTCACAAATTAAAAAAACACATTTTGAACACATAAGCTAATCAGAGTTGGGATGCCTTCAGATTAATGCCCATTGTACTCTGCTACTTAGCTCTTGATACAAATTCAATATTTTAATATGCTCTGATCTCATTTTTATAATGAGCATGTGCTACAGTTTGGATCTGAAATATCCACCAAAGGCTCTTGGGTTGAAGGCTTGGTCACCGTCTTTGGTGCTATTGGAAAGTGGTGGAACCTGTAGGAGGTAGGAACCACTTGGAGGGCTTAGGTCATGGGGGTATACTCTTGAAGGAGATGTCTGGATCTTTGGCCCCTTCCTCTCTTTTTGCTTCCCGACTTCCAATGAAGTGAGTAGCTTTGCTCTGCCACATGCTTCCTGCCATGATGTTTTGCCTCATCACAAACCCAGAAGCAACGGAAATGTCTGAAACCACAGCCGACATCAATCTTTTCTCTCTTAAGTTGATTTTTCTCAAGCATTTTGTCATAGCATCAGAAATTGACTAGTACAGCATGTATTATATACATATATATACATGTATATATTTTTATATATACCTGTGTGTATATATGTGTATATACATATGTATATGTATTCAGAAAACTTTGAAACCTCAAAACAAGCTACTGTCCTCATCAGAGTTTGAATTTTGGGTTATATCCTTCCAGAGTTTTCTCTGTATACTTCATCCCTTTCTCACATTTTTGATGTTCTTCATGGTAATTTAAGTGGAAAGGGAGATGAAGTATTCCAGTAATACGCACAGAAATTAGTCAAATGCATCCTATAAAAACACCTCACATTGGTTGCAGTAGCACTCAGGTACTCCCATGAGAAATTCTTCCTGCCATGTCCTCCTTGCTCTGACCACTAGGGTGGGCTTCTTAGAGACGCCCAGCCCTCATTCTTCCTCCAGCCTATGCTCTGGATGAGGAAGGAGTATTCAATCCCTGCAAGAGGCCCCCTTCCATTTTCCTCAGCTCTCTCTTCTTATCATCTTTCAGGAAAAATGTATTCACGAATACCAGGAACCCTCTCCAAAGGGAAATAATAAGTGGGTTATAAGGTAAAGCAAATGTCACTCTCCTCTGCTGCTCTCATTTCCTTTATTAAACTATGGCAGCACATTAGGGTAAGCACACCAGTCAATCCCAATGTCCCAGAAAATTGCCTTCCCCTGGGAAATTCATCTTTCAATTACTAGCAGAGGAAAGGGACTTTTCACATTTCCAAGAACAAAAAGATAATAGCATCAGCCTTTGCTACCATCTAATTAGTGTTTGCAATTCTTATAATTTTATGTTGCCTCAGCATCTATTTTGAATGGCAGTTAGATTTTCTCATACAGAAGCAGGGCTCAGTCAATTCTGACACCCATTTCCAGTTCTACCCTTCATCCCAAGTCTTCAACATGGTCAACACAAGTATTCACCTTGTAAATCTGCTCCCTGGTGACTATCTCCCTATGGGACAGCTAATGCCGCCTGTATGACTGACCCTTACATTCCATGTGAACTGTGCAGGTAGGCCATAGTAGCCACCTCTCAGTCACTGTGCAGCCTCCTGGAATTTATGCCTACCTACTTTAAACTACCAATTTAAACTCCCCTTAGACCTGTATGGATACACTCTGGATCCAACAGAGGGATTGGCCCATGGGTCTCTCTCTCCCACATGCTTCCTAACTTTGTGTGCATATGGCCTTTGGGTGTGCAGTGTACCCCAGGACCTGTTAGTAACAAAATATTTATTTCTATCTTGTGTCTGTCCTAATCTTTGGAAGGGTGCTTTCCATGCTAAAGATTCTAAATTAAATGGTGCAGAAATGTGCTAAGCATTTTACATCTATTACTATCTTGTTCCACATTTAAACACTAGAAGAAAGGCATGGCTTGGCTGACAGGAGTTTGGCCTAGAATCAGGGGCCCTGGGTTCAGATCCTGGCTTTGCTACTTCTAAGCTGTGCACCTGTGGGGAAACTGTGTGAACTCTGGTGCTTTAGGATTCAGGTCTGGATGAAGGGATAAGTAATACAACAGAAATCTAGCAACAGTGCTTGGACATACTAAATGTTCAAAATGGTTTCAGTGATCATCGCTATTATTTTCCCATTTTAAAAATGAGAAATAAAGGTTTTCCTAAGTCCCAGAGCTAATCCAAGTGTTCTAACTTCAGAGGCCAAGGGACTTGGGCTCAGTCACAAGTAGTCAGCAGTAGATCAAGAAGCAGTAACAGGGTGTCTGATTCCTAATTTATAAACTCTCTCCACACACCACACCACGGAAGTGCAGGAAGAGTGGGCTGCTGTGCTGAATTTCTAGAGAGATGCTGTTTCTGAGAGAAAGGAATCAGGGGTGTGTCTTGTACAAAAAGGCCTGACACACAGTCTTTGTATACAGTGAAACAATTTCTCCTTTGATCTTTGCATCAAAGCACTGAACCAGGTCACTAGGAAAGGGTGGTGTGGTGAGAAAAGCCAAACACCCTGTCTACTTAGGGCAGTGAAACTTCTCCTCATCACCCCTGACTTGTGGGACTGCCAAGGTTGTGCTCCCAGACTGGAGCCTGCTCCTCTCCCCATAAGTCTTAGGACCCTTCATCTCAGTCCTGCACAGCCCAGAGGCCCAACATAACACTTCACTTGCTCTGGCTAACACCAGCCATCGTTAATATGGTTCCTGGATAATTCCTCTTGGTTCATAAAAGCAGAAGGAATTGGGGGGAAATCAAATCTTAAAATGCCTGGATTTTGATCAATCGAGACTTTACCTCTGCTGGGGCTTACCTTGGGGTATTAATTTCTTATTTACAAATGTCTTGTATTTTAAAGGTGGTTTGTTTTCATAGGAAAATGTATTCTGACTTCTAACATTATAAACAGTTTTAGATAACCAGGCTAGCACACTGTAGCAGATAGTAATATCATTCCAATTATTCAGTGCTTCCCTTGTAAGATTAAACTTCTCTATCCACTGACATGAGACTATCTCATGTGGCCTTTGGCTAGTGAAATGTGAGTACAAATGACACTGTGAAGCATAAGCTGTAAAGTCATCACATGGTTTCACCACCAGTTTTTTCCCCAATGTTGCAAACAAAGCAATGCCCAAGAAAAAGACTATTCCTTCAACCAGGTCCTGGAACAAAGACATAGCAAGCAGACCTACAGCTAATGTACAGTATCAGTAAGGACACTTTTGTTATTGCAAGCCACTAAGATTTGGAATTTGTTACTGCAGCAAAAAGTAGTGGATTCTAGCTAGCATATCATTAAAACTTACTTAGAACATAATGATCTAAAATGCTATATATTTGCAACCAAAAGTTGCTGAAAATAATGTTTGCAATGATCATATTCAAAATTTTAAAAATGGAAAAAATGGAAAGGAACTGGGGCAGGAGCCAAGGCATCTTTACATGACTGATACCATTCTTGTTAGTATTCAAAATGCAAATTGACCCTGGGCAGGTTTTGATGGCTCCAGGCACATTTCAGCTCCCCTACACAATGTAGTTTTCATCCTAATCCTCTTTCCTCATCTTCTGGACAGCCATCTGTGAACCAGAGAAATTATACTTCCTCTTTGTAGTGTCACATCCAGAGCTTATGCTAGCCTCATGACCTGTTCCCTTAAATGTATCCAGACAATGGCAACCGCAAAGCAAAAGACAAATTCAATTCTGCCACATCATACTGAAGAAAAATGGCTCAAAGGTCAAGGAAAAACATTCCATTTACTCTTGCTATTTCCTCTAAACCTGATTTCAGCTAACAAAAATTCCTTAGTCATGTAAAAGCTATAGCCAACTCAGCTGTCAGAACCCATGTATGCCGTTTCAAGATGAAAATAGAAAGGCAATTGACAAACAAGAGGAACAATTATGTTCAAGAATTCTATTTGCAAACACTGACTTTTAGGAAATGAAATAAGTAAAAATTTCTGGTTAATCAAATTGTATCCTGGGAGGGATACAGAGGAAAAATTTGAAGCCTTATTCATTTCAATAAGAAATGAATTTATTGCCTGCTGCTAGTGCAGGCAATAAATACCAGAGAAGTTTAAAACACTTGGCTATGGATACAGATCACACAAACACACACAAATACTTATATTAAATAATGTATATAATATTATATGTAACTATAAATGTACACATGTTTATCATGCAGGACTTACTCTGGCTTCAGATTTCCTTACAAGTCAGTCTTTACTGATAAAAGGATTCCTTTTCATTTATTAGTCACACAGCTGAAATTTGTGTAGAGTTTTCTAGCAATTGTGTCTCATCTTGTGCTTCCTAAAAAGTGTCCTGTTTTAAAAGCAGCCCAGCTGAAATGAGTAATTGCCTGGGTCTGCTCAGTCTAGCAGGAGGAAGACAAATGACACCCTACATAGACACTCAGCTCTGTTCAACGACACAGATGTCAAGACTCACCAGATATTGGGTAAAAATGGAAACATCCTCTGTGCTGTTGTCAGAGTTCATTCTCAGCAACCTCCCAAGTCTAGGGGAACTCACAACTGTAAAAGTTACAGTTCTGTTTCCTGTACTGTCATCATTGGTCACAGCTTTCAGGTCACAAGATGAAAGTGGCTTCGTGGAACCTGAATAAAGATTAAAACATGAGCATAAAGCATAAGAAAGTTTCCAGCTAATGAAATAATTTTTATAGACTCCTGAAAACTCTCTGAAAAATGTATGGTTATGAACTGGTGAAGGGGGGACCCTGGCTAGCCCTAACTTGAAATTGGGCTGCAAGGGGATAGTGATCCCTGAGGCATCTACTTGTGGTAACGATTTGCTCCTGGGGCCCCAGAGAAACCAGACACTCCCTACCCCTTCTTCCATCTAGGCCTGGGCGTCTAACTTATCCCTGGATAAGGAAGGCAATGCTGAGGCATGTGTAGCCTCCAGGCTGCCTCAGGTACATGAAGCAAATGTAGATTGTGCAGTACCAAGAACTTAAGAGACTACATTCCTCTTGCAGGGTGGGTGTTGGCTTTTGAATAAATATGAAACATCTCCTGGGGACCCCCATACCTGCATGTTTGCATAGACATTGTGAGAAGCAAAACCTGTGTGAACACAAGGGGGGAGCAACCAGTGACACATGGGTTTTGGTACTAATGAGACTTCATTAGTAACAAAAGGTGATAGACCTAGAGTTACTCAGGCTAGAGTGGTGCTTTTCAAATGCTCTGTGATGAAGGATCAGTGTTTCCTTCCTATCCTACTGGGGACCAATAATTTTGCAAAATACAATAAAGATGTCACAGCAATGCCAAGTTGTTATAAAAAATTTCCAAACACTTTCTCTTGCCTTTGGTTCTTATCTGCTCACAGACTGGAAAGTGCGTGGGCCACACTTGGAGGAGCACAGGGTCAGAGTACACGTCCCTTCACTCAGCAGTGATTCAGGGAACATTCTCAACCTCATTGAATGGAAGGTTTGAAATAGACACACTTCCTTTTCCGGCCTAGAATCTTTTCTCTTCTCTCCTGTTTTAGCCCTTGACAGGACTTTAGTATTAGGCCTTCACAGTGTAGCCCTCTGAGTAGGCACTTCATAAGTTATTTATGAGATTGAGTCAACCATCCAATAATAACTAAGCCCCTTCAATGACATCCCTTTGTGCTTTCCTTCCTCAGCTTTTGTAGTCTTAGAGCAAAGGCCACCAGATGTAGTGTTTAAACCAAGATGTCTAGATGACTTCCAGATTCCCAAAGATTGTTCTGAGTCCCCAATTTAGAGGCTCCATTTAAAGTGCTCAGGCCTCTGAGATGAGCACTAGGCTCCTGGGATAAATCTGTGATGATCTATCCCAAATTCATGGCCACCTCGGCCCATGTTGGGTTGTTAAACAAAGTGCTCATGTGATGCTTACAACTGCTCCCACATTCCTCTCACTTCTTGTTGAGATTTTTGTAGTCATTGCTATTTTCTGACTCTGGAGTTGGGGATCAGGATTGGAGGTCACACCAAGAAGGACTAGAGGAATGTTTCTGAGTCCTCAGCCATCACTGGGGCCCTTCCTCTGTTGCTGGTCAAGGCCAATTCTTTCTTATCTGATGGATTATGCCTCTTATGTGTGTGGCTCCTGGGGAACCCAACATCCAGCTTCTCCATCCTTAGTATTTCTTTGGAACATTTCCCCCACTGTGCCTTCTTTTGGTTTTTTTTTTTTTTTAGAAAATAATTTTATTTATTTTTATTATCATATTATTGTGGTACTGGGGGTATTCATAATTGAATTTACTCCCTCTATTATTCTCCTTTATCCCTCTTTCCCATATACCTGTTTCAACAGGTCTCATTTTTCCATTTACATACATGTGTACATAGTATTTCTACCATATTTACCTTCCTACACCTTTTCCTTATATCCTCCCTGCTACCCACTGATACCAACTCCCAGACAGGACTTGTTTTACCTTCCTAGTCTCTGTTTTTGAAAAAAACCCATTTTTGCTTTGTTTAAGATAGCTATCCACTATGCCTTCTTAATTAGTGCCTTCTTATATAGACCCTAAAAATAATATTTTTCCTAGCCAAAGGACATAATACCAGTATATAGAAAAGATATCTGAACTTCCACATTTATTACAGAACTATTCACAATAGTCAAGATACAAAATTAACTTAAGTGCCCATCACTAGATGAAAGGTAATGAAACTGTGGTACATATACATAATGAAATACTATTCAGTCACAGAAAGGCATCTCTTATTGACCAGTCCAACTCACCAGAAGCCAAATACTATCTTCTCCCCTTCCACCTCATTTCATCTAAGTAGCTAATTTAAGCAGTGAGTGTCCAGCACTTAATTTGGGAAAGATTTCTGTAAAGTCACACCTGTGTTGTTACTGACCATCATACAAGAGGTGTGGTCCTAAGAGTACTCTATAACCATAGCTGCTTCATAAGCCCTCACTCTGCACACACTTCTTAGAGATTCAAAAAACAAATCTGTCCATTAAAACCTCTGATAAAACTTGAAATAAAGAAATCTGTTTTATCCTTCTTTAACACGGCATTTCTCAACCCTTCTTGTATTCCAGTTGCTTCATGAAAAACAACCATCTGGTTTCATAACCGTCAGGCTGGCAGGCTTTCTACACTTCTTCAACAAATGTTACCAAATACCCAATATGTAAAAAACCCTACAATAAATAAGAAGCAGAGGAGATAGACAGGCTGAGCGTCCCTAATCTGAAAATTCAACATCTGAAACACTCCAAATTTGAAAGTTTTTTGAGTCAGTCCAGTCAATAGGAAATTCCAACCACCCCTCCAAATCCATGCAGCACACCTACTCTGGACCACTATCTGGACACTTACCATTACATGTTCCATATGGTTACTGTCCTCCTGATTATGTCTCTTACTTTACCTATTAATGAGACTTTAATTATTTCCTTGAGGATTAACAACCTTTTCTTAACAGTTCTTGGCTATCTCCTGTTAAGTCTTAGAATATTCAGTTCAGCATTTTAAGACCCACTGACTAAAAGGTTTTATGAATCTCTGCTCTAAACCCATTAGCAACACACTATGAATCCCTTCTCCTCCTCTCCTTCAGTTCTTCTCACAGAGAATAGATGGTCTATTGATGATCTGTTAGTCTCCCAAAGAGACTGGAGTCACAGAGTTTGTCAAGACCCTTTGCTGATGGGATGCTTAACTTTGGGTCTATGTAAGCTTATATTCTACACCATTATAGCAAAATTCTCAAGCTCAATTCATTCAATACTCAAGGCTAACATTCCTTGAAAACTACCAAGTACAATTTGGATAAGTAGAAAATTTAGATTCTAAGACCACAGTATATGCCACCACTAAAAATAAACAAAACCAATGGTAGCATTCAATGTGAAAAACTGTTACAAAATGTTTTTCTGGGAAATAAATCTTATAGAAAGAAATATAACACGTTACAATTAAATATATATACATATACACATACATGTATATGCATATATTATACACACATCTGCATATTTGTACAATATAATATGTAATAAAATTAAACAAAATATGCTTTGGGTAGTTCACAAAAAATATTTCATTTAGAAGTAGAGTCCTTCCTACTTTAAAATAAGAGTTAAATACTGACTTTCAAATTTGAATGGGCACAGAAGCCATGGTTAGCTTTAAGTCATTCACCACACTATGTATTCTAGTAGTTACTTGCTCACAAGTCTCAAAGCAGAGCCACTTTCTAAGACTGAGTACACCAAGGAGTCAAGACAGAAGCAACCAAAGTCTGATGAACTGGCAGAGAAAGTCCAAGTGATATGGGACCAATGTGAATCAAAAAAAATTTAATTACCTAATGCGGGATTACAAGATTTCGCTAACCAAAGACAGTAAAATACAGAACACTTCTACATCATTGCTGTTTATTAAATTGCTATGTATATTTCTCTAGTTGTGCATGTCAACACATCAGTAACGTCGAGAAGGAGACAAAATAAACACCTATCATGATGACCCACTCCTCCGGAACTGGCATTCTAAAATAGAGACGGCCCTGGAACACTGGCTCCACAGGAAGGACAGGGCTGTCAGATATGAGCACAGGACATGGAATTAGAGTCAACACTCAGTCTTGGGGCTTATGACTCTTATCAGTTACTTCACCATGAACTTTATCATCTGCCATGTGAGGTGATCAAAATTTGCTTCTACACATATTATTTAACTTAAACATAATAACCCAATGTAGTAAATTAAAAATATAAAACACTACAAAACACAAAGTATCAATATCTGAATGTCCAACATAAAACAGAAATACATTTTCTACTCCTATAATGGTTTTAAAATTTTTACAGTTCTATAAAAAGCAGATTTTCCTGATGTTTTAGAACACAGAAGTTCCGAACATACAGATCTGCAATAGCTGATATCTGACATCTTAAATCACACCCTGAGGCAAGGATGCTGCGTGCCTCCCTTCCCTTAGCAGGACATGACATGATGAGGTCAGGGTAAGAGGATCTAAGGGAAGTTGAAGAATGGGGCATCTGTCATTATCACATAGCAGCAATCCCTAGGTGGCTTCTGCAGAAGCCAAGCCCAGCGAGGCCCAGTTGGGTCCTTGAAAAGAAAGAGAATGAGGTGACATGGTCATTAGAATCAAGCTCACAGTAGGGAATTCTGAAATACAACAGTTGGTCATGGCTATTTGGAACCTTAGGTTAGGAAAAACACCGAGAAAACTGAATCAGAAGACCTGTAAGGTCTACCATGACTCTGCAATCTCTGAATCCACATTTCTCATTTCTACCCCATCCAAGCTTTTATCAAATATAAAAGCCATCCAGTGGAAATGTATATGAAAATCTGTCTCCTTCCTCCTGGCCAGGAGCTGGAACAGGAAACAAGTCACAGTGTGGGGATAGAAGGTGACACAGAAACCAAGAATACCAACAGAGCAACATGCCAGGGGGAGTTCTTTGGGGTTTGAGGATAACATAAACAGTAGTGAATTCTCAAATACATGGATGCAAGGCCAGGGAAGATGCAAGGTTTGTTTGAAAAGGAAAGGAGACAATTACTCAGGGCTGTGTCCAACACTTAACAAGGAACCATGAAAACTCTATGTTTTGCATAATCCTGAAGGAAATTTCAGTTACTTGAATATATTTTTCCAGTCAAATTAATATTCAGTGCATCAGGAACCAAAAATTTAAAAGATTCAAAACTGTAGTGGTTCTGTCTCTCCTTTAATATAACTGTTTGCAATCATTAAGCCAGGATCAGTTTAGCCAGACAGATGAAAGGTATTTAATCTTTTGCAGCAGCCAGATTTACCCTGATTTTAGAATTTTTAATAGATTACCATATTTTTCAGATTACTAAAATATAATTGTTTGATTGCTTATCTTTTAAAACACTAATTGCCATGGAAAAAATTAATAGAAGCATCACACTTATTCTCAGAGAAAAGTTATAGAACAGAAAAAAAAGGCTTTAGAAGAATTTTGGTTCACAGATCTTTTGCTGCATTTTGAAATGTTTTCATGTCATAAACTCAAATGCTAAAGACAACTAAAAATTTTCAAAATTTCTCCTAAAAGAAGTTTTTAAAAAATAGCTACAAACAAAAAGCCATTTTCCTTTAAGTCTACTACAGCAGTATAAAGGATTTCTCTATCCTTTACTAGTTAGGTAGCCAACCTACAAAGCCCACCAGCTTCCTGTGATTATATCACTATCTTGCATCACTGTAAGGACTAAAGGACCAGTATTGTTTAGTTCCATGGATTCCAATCTTGGTCCTACTTAGGACCAACCAGGAATTTTTTAAATGATGCCAGAGACTCCCATTGAATTGGTATAAGGTTTGAACCAGTCACTGCTATTTTTAAAAGTTTCCCAATGGTTGAAATCACTGGCTAGTATGATCATAATTAATAAAAGCATAAGGGTCTTTCTCCATCTGTGTTTTACTAGGAAAGCATATCATTTAAATAAGTTACAATGTGCAGAGTTGCTTTTGATTCCCTGCCCCACTCCGAACATTCAGGACATGTTGAAATTTTATTGTTTCCTGTGTTTCCACCTCAGTGCTTTTTTTTTTTTTGGAAATAACAAATTCAACCCTTTTCTCCATTTTTATTGCCTTTGCCTTTAGGTAAATCTTTCCCTTTCTTTGCAATGAGGGTGTTGGCCAGAAAGGCTCACTGCACTCCTTCCATGTTAGCCAGGCTGAGATTCTTGGCAAGCAGCCATCCACAGGCTGAGGGCCCCAAAGCAGCACTTGCTGAAGCCACTGACACCCCTCAATGCTGCACAAGGTTTTATATTCAAAATACAAAAGCCCCAAGAAAGTAAAAGGAGATAGCCATCGCCCAGCCTGGCTTTCTGTGCTCTGAGGAGAGAGAAGGAGGAAAATGCATGTTGGGCCACAAAGATGGCCCCTTGCCTTACTCTCTCCCCAGGGCTCATCACCAGCATGTCCTCTTCTGAGGAAGAAGAAAGGGAAAAGACAGAAGGGTTGTAGAGGGCTGAGTTTGGCTTCTGTTAAATTCTTTCAGAGAAACAGTACTTACTGGGACTTTCTAAATGTAGTTGGTATCATTCTACAGTAAAAGACAATACCTTAGATCATACAGAGAGCACTTTTTGAATAAACAAAGAAACACTTAACCCGCACCCCCCACCAGTGCCTACTAAAATGCTTACCTGGAAAGACGCTCAGTCTTCTGTTCATTTCTAAGCTGATGATCAGAGCTCGAGCAGTGATGCTAAAGATTTGTCTAGGGGCAAGGTTCAAACCATCAGTAACCTGAAAACTAAAGCCTCCTGACATTGCTCCTTCAAAAGAAGAAAACACACTCAGGTCAATTTGTTTGTTCTGCAAAAGCCACTCACCTTCACCTTCTCTTCCTCATGTCCTCCCCTAGGAAACAACCAACCCCCATCAATCAAAAACAGCCATGCACCATGTTTTGATCAACAACACACCATGTATACAACAACTATGGTCACATGAGATTAGATCACCTGGAGATGTCCCAGCCATCTTAGTTTATGTAAGTACATTCTATAATGTCTGCACAAGAATGAGATTGCCTAATGATTCATTTCTCAGAATGAGTCACTGATTTTAAGTGATACATGACAGTGCTGCCAAAGATGCAAGTTTAAAACATATTAATAAAGGTCTAACAGGCAAATTTGGGCTGGCCAGATACTCAGGAGGCGGAGACAGGAGAATGGCAGTTCAAGGTCAGCCTGAGGAAAGTTAGCAGGAAACCCTATCTGAAAAACAACACTTCTGAGGGCATGGCTTAAGTGGTAGAATGCTTGTCTAGCATGTGGGAGGCCTTAAGTTCAATTGCCAATACCATAAAATTAAATTAAATGCAGATTCTCACTCTGTGTCATAATAAAGTAAAGCAGAGATGTTATCTCTGAGAAATATTTTTAAATTTAAACATGTTTATCACCTGCATTTATTATTCTGGAATCAATTTATATCAGCAAAGTAATGCATGCCTGAAGCACACATGCACACACACACATACCTAATCATTTAGGTATGCTGATCGTAGTTATTTGATAATACTGAAAATCAAAACTAGGGGAAGTAAATAATATTTAGGCCCTCCACCCCCAAAAATAGCTGCAGTTTTAATTACATATCTGTCTCAAGCTAACTGCTTTCTGTTAAGAGGGGAAAGAGAAGAGAAAGGAAAGATGTAGCCTTGCTTTTGTTAAATTACTGTGGGGGTAAAATTCCACTCCTATACGTCTGTCAAGACATGTCAAGGGATTAGGGATATCAGTAAAGTTAAAAATTGGCTTCTGTGCATAATGGAAATGGAGACCCCCATCAATCCAGCTCCCAGGAGTGCTTTACCAATCTGACCAACATAGCACCAGGCAAGGTCACTAGACAGAGAGGCCAATGTTCACAGCCTGTTGCCCTCTATAAATGACCATCCGGCAGTAAATAGAGAGGCCAGAAAGTCTTTACATCATGGACTGGATAGAAATGGATCTTTGCTGCCCTCAGAGACATATGGAAAAGGAACAAATGAGGCACAGTCTGATTCTGCAATTACGTGTGAGCACTCCCTTAATAATGCAGTTTAGTAAAAGGCTGGTCGATGGCTTGAGGTCTCTCAAGTGTCTGTTATGTAAGTGAGCCCTGAGAGTTCTGATTCCTCACAAGAAAGGTTACAGATGGTTAAATGATCCCCATACAATCAGAGTCACCACTAGAAAAAGAGAGAGAGAGAATTCTGAGACTACCTAATTCAGAACAAAGGTCCACAATCAAATGTTGTTTTGCATATGCTTGGTTTTCTAGAAATATTGAATGAAACACAAAATTAAGGACAGAATGCTTTGTACTACCAGGCACTTTGAATTCTTCATGAATTTACAAACAAAGTAGGGATGGAATCAAAGGAATTATATCAAAATAAACATAGAAAATTATATTGAGTGTGACCTAAAAGAATAATGAGAACCGCAGGAAGATCAGGAAGGAAACAAAAAAATAGGTTTGATCTGTGGCTTTCTTATTTGTACCTGCTCAGATTTTCCCTGAGAGTACTTTGAGAAGGGTAAACTTAAGTAAATCACTTAGCCTCCCAAGTCTTGGTTTTATCGCCTATTTAGGTGAATTACGTTAATGCTAACGGGGACTAATTAAACCTCAGGCTTTGTGTGGGGCTAGGATGGATAAAACCATCCAGCTTCAGCAACAGACTCATCCACAGCTGTGCTCCAGACATTTTGAGTTATTAGATTGCCTCAGTGTCCATTTAGGAAATGGATCATCCTTCATGTTAACCTTGCCTGTAACACCCCTTGCTTTTCTAGAAATTATTTTCTCTACTCACCAAAAGCAAATATTGACCTTGGAATTGACAAGTCAATCAACCTAGAGAGCTAATTTTTATCTTAATCCTTCATTGCAAATAGTAACTCCAGATCTTCAGAAAGATCTTTCATCTTTCTGAGCCTCAGTTTCTCCCTATTACTCTCTACCGATATGTGCAATGTGGCTGCACCTCCTGTGGTGACTGACAAGTGGAAAAGAATCAATTACTGCTTTCCAGTGTAGATGGAAAGATGCACCAGTCTCTAGAGCAGTTATCTCCATTCTTTTCACAAAAAGAAAAAAGGACCTGGCCTAATAATGCCTGTACATTCGGTATCTAGTACTGAAACCACACAGGATTAGAAGAAGCCTCCTATTAATTCGGTCTCACTTAGATGAATTGTATTTCATTAACCAGCCCATCTGCTCACACATTAAAATGGAACCATACATATACAGGAAAATGTCATCCACTCTGGAAAACAATGCTTTGGTAAATGTGTGTGGAGATTTAACTCCTGCAGGTCCTAGGCCAAAGGTCTGGAACCAAGAAATGAGAACATTCCTATTACAAATTAGCTTGAGATTCTTTGGGGGATCCTTCACATTAAATGTAAAGATACTCAAGATATCACTACATTTGAATTTAGAATGTGTCTTAACTTTATTTTCTTTACTATTTTTTCATAGAAGATAATTAAAATTAACTGAAAAAAAGCTGTTATTATAGCTTTCTGATCATGTCCTCCTGGCTCATTCTCCTCCTACTTGCCAGCTGCTGCCTCTCTGGGTCCACTGGCAAGGGCAGTATGGAAACAAAGTGAGACTGCCTTTGTCCAGGTCGCCCCTTCTGCAGATTTCCGGCAGCTATTCATTGATTTATTGATGAACAAAAGGAAGCAGAAGAGGCCTTTCAACATCAGGGTCTCTTAAAAATATAGTCGCATTCATCCATTCATGTATTCATTCCTCCAACAAATATTTGCTTTGCTCCTAAAGTATCCCCTCACATCTGGAATGCTATTACCTGGCACATAAGAGCGGTTCATTATTATTTCATTCGTTCAATAATTTTCATTTATTAATCACCTACCATGCTCCAGGCACTGTACCAGGGGCTGAAGATAGAAGAGGCTCTGCCTTTATTGTGCTTCGATTATAATGGGGAAGACAGACAAGAAACAAATGTCCAAATCAATCTACACTATACCAGGCAGTGAGAGAAGGGATGCAGACTGGCAGAGAGGAGATGCTATGTCAGTGAGTAGTGGGAAGAGGCCTTTGGGGTTGGGGTTACCGACCTGTCATGCCGATTTGAGTGAGTCACATGGGAGTCATAGGTACTCTCCAATGCTTGCTATTATTAGCTTTACTAAACTTTTAAACAGAATTGTAGAGCTTAGAAAGTTTCTGCATGGTCTCTGGTTTCCAGTCAGCAACAATCAGGTATCACCAGCCCATTAACCACTGACTGAAACACATTTTAGTTCCACATTGGTTTGGTTTGTGACATACCAGAATGTACAAACACTAGTTGGCCCTCATTGATTTGAGCTTGGGTGAAGTTCTGGATCCTTTTGTCAGGAGCAGATTTGAGAGCCAGATGCCCATTGCTGGGTGGAGTGACCCAGTAGACAAGGTCCTGTGGGAAGGAGTCCTCATCTTCTGCACAGAGGTCACCTCTGGTTATCTCCGTGATAGAATTCACCCACACCTTAAAAAGAAGAGACTCACAGATCTTTTTGAAGACAGTTTCAATCACATCACATTAGTAAACAAGACAGCTGGAACACCCTGGGTCCTTGTACAAAGATTTTAAAATTAATCTAATTCAACAGTGTTTTTAAAACATAAGGTTTCTTGAGTCAAAATAGATATATAATTTAAAGCCAAATAAAATGCAAAGCATTTAATTCAATAAAAAGTAATGGTAATCATTTATTCAAAATTAATTACTTCAAGTTCATATGCACTTATGTAGAGTATATAACCATAAAAGCTAATAGTCACTATGTCCCTTTTGTGTGCTGCATATGTTAAATACACTACATGGAACCTCAGATACACAGACCCTACCTCACTTGATTAATCTAAAGATTTCTATTCATTGCTTTAAGAAGCAAGTTATTTCATCAGTTTTTAAATAATTGAGGGAAAAGCATACACATTTTTTTATTCCCTTTATTCTACCTGTCTTACAGGAAAACAAATATTGGTTCCTTTGTCCTTGCTGTGTTTGCCATACTGAGCACTCCCATCTACAACTGTGTGTGGGTAGCACACTGTTTTCCACTTGCACTTAAATCTACTTATATTGCCTAAACCTCTTTCCTCTCTCTTTTTTTTTAAGCAATACTAGGGTTTGAACTCAGAGCATAACACTTGCCAGGCAGGTGCTCTACCACTTGAGCCACTCCACCAGCCCTGTTTTGTATTGGGTATTTTCAAGATAGGCTCTCAAGAGCCCAGGGCTGGCTCTGAACCTCAATCCTCCTGACCTCTGCTTCCTGAGTAGCTAGGATTACAGGTGTGAGCCACGAGCACTCAGCTTGATTCAACAGTGCATCAAACATTTTATTGAGGATCTATTATGTTCTAGGTAATGTTTGGGATACTTGCAATGTATCAGTAAATAAAACAATAGAGTCCTGCCCTCATGGAGCCTATGTTCCAGCAGAAGGGGACAAAAAGACACAGAGGAGAAACAGTGGGCATAATAAGGAAATGAACTATATAGTCTGTTAGAAAGTTACAACACTGAAAAAACAAAACAAAATTGGCAGGGGGCGTTCAGTCATGGGGCAATGTTAATAGGAAACTGTGTGAAGGGAAAGCTGGAAGGAGGTGAAAGAGGAGTCATGCAACCAGAAGGAGGAGTTCCCATCCACTGGAAAGAAGAAGGATTTGGGCACGGTAGACTGAGGAGTTCAGTCTTGAACATGTTGACTTTGAAATGCTTGTTCGGCCACTGAATCACATCTGATGGAGTCAGGCTGTTCTGAGTCTCCACAATCATGCAGTCACATGGTATTTCAATAACTCTAAAACAAGTGGTTTTATCACTGACTCAATTTTCATGTTTCTATCTGTATTTTTTTCTTACCCACAGAAACACTATGTACACATTCCTGAGCTTGTGTATCACCCATTGCTCTGACTAGAACCTTCTCCTCTTCTATGCTTTTCCCAACATGCTTAAAGGTTCACTCCTAAGGCATTTAATAAGAGCTAAGCTGGCCAGTTAAAAGGAGCCATTATCCTCAGTAAAAGGGCGGTCTATGAAGTAACTTAATCCTTGTTCGCTCATGATCAAATAACTATTTAAGCAGAGCTTGAAACAGACACCAAGAGACATATATGATTCCTATGTTTTCATACCAAGCATAATAGCACAGACACAAAAACCCATTCTGATTCCAATGCACCAACTACTGATGCAGAAAACCTCCTTTGTGAATCATCCCCTAATGTTCTGAAAGTGAACTGCTGAGACTATATAGTAATTGTGCATAAGTAAACACAAGCACTCCACATATGCACATGTGCACACATTGGAAACCACATATCTTTAGGAGCGTTTAATTCTTCAAGGAGACTAAGTTGAAGAACACATGCCAGTAACAATAGCACTGATCGAAATTCTTCACTGAAATTATTTTCAGGTTACTCAGAAACATTTGATTTTTTTTTTTTTGTCCAGTGACTATCTGGATTCAAGTCACTGCTTTGCCACTTACTAGCTATGTAACCTTGGGCATATTTCTTACCTTCTCTGGGCCTTAATTTCTTCATCAGCAAATTAAGAACTATGGGGGTTACTTTGTATACTGAGTAACTTAATCTGAGAAATGTACTTAGGGCAACTTGACCTGACATGTAGTAAGCCTTCAATAAATATTAACTTTATATTATCTATCTCCTTTATCTGATTTGTCTCCACCGACGTGACTCTGTGTGTATGTCTGTGTGTGTGTGTCTGTATGTGTATATGTGTGTGTGTGTCTGTATGTGTATATGTGTGTGTGTGTGTCTGTATGTATGTGTGTGCATGTGTGTATGTGTGTGTCTGTATGTGTATATGTGTGTGTGTATGTATGTGTATATGTGTGTGTCTGTATGTGTATATGTGTGTGTGTGTCTGTATGTGTATATGTGTGTGTGTCTGTATGTGTATATGTGTGTGTGTGTCTGTATGTGTATATGTGTGTGTGTGTGTCTGTATGTGTATATGTGTGTGTGTGTCTCTATGTATGTGTATATGTGTGTGTGTGTCTGTATGTGTATATGTGTGTCTGTATGTGTATATGTGTGTGTGTGTCTGTATGTATGTGTATATGTGTGTGTGTGTCTGTATGTGTATATGTGTGTGTGTGTCTGTATGTATGTGTATATGTGTGTGTGTGTCTGTATGTGTATATGTGTGTGTGTATGTATGTGTATATGTGTGTGTGTGTATGTGTATATGTGTGTGTGTGTCTGTATGTGTATATATGTGTGTGTATGTATGTGTATATGTGTGTGTGTCTGTATGTATGTGTCTGTATGTGTATATGTGTGTGTGTGTATATGTGTATATGTGTGTGTGTGTGTCTGTATGTGTATATGTGTGTGTGTGTGTCTGTATGTGTATATGTAGATGTGGTGTGGTCTTATGTGTATATGTGTGTGTGTGTGTCTGTATGTGTATATGTGTGTGTGTGTGTGTCTGTATGTATGTATATATGTGTGTGTATGTCTGTATGTGTATATGTGTGTCTGTATGTGTATATGTGTGTGTGTTTCTTTATGTATGTGTATATGTGTGTGTGTGTCTGTATGTGTATATGTGTGTGTGTGTGTCTGTATGTATGTGTATATGTGTGTGTGTGTCTGTATGTGTATATGTGTGTGTATGTATGTGTATATGTGTGTGTATGTGTATATGTGTGTGTGTGTCTGTATGTGTATATGTGTGTGTGTCTGTATGTGTATATGTGTGTGTGTGTGTCTGTATGTGTATATGTGTGTGTGTGTCTGTATGTGTATATGTGTGTGTGTGTCTGTATGTGTATATGTGTGTGTGTGTGTCTGTATGTGTATATGTGTGTGTGTGTCTGTATGTGTATATGTGTGTGTGTGTCTGTATGTGTATATGTGTGTGTGTGTGTCTGTATGTGTATATGTGTGTGTGTGTCTGTATGTGTATATGTGTGTGTGTGTATGTGTATATGTGTGTGTGTGTATGTGTATATGTGTGTGTGTCTGTATGTGTATATGTGTGTGTGTGTGTGTGTCTGTATGTGTATATGTGTGTGTGTCTGTATGTGTATATGTGTGTGTGTGTATGTGTATATGTGTGTGTGTATGTCTGTATGTGTATATGTGTGTGTGTGTATGTGTATATGTGTGTGTGTATGTCTGTATGTGTATATGTGTGTGTGTCTGTATGTGTATATGTGTGTGTGTGTCTGTATGTGTATATGTGTGTGTGTGTGTGTGTGTATGTGTATGTGTGTGTGTGTGTATGTGTATATGTGTGTGTGTGTATGTGTATATGTGTGTGTGTATGTGTATATGTGTGTGTGTGTATGTGTATATGTGTGTGTGTGTGTATGTGTGTGTGTGTGTGTGTATGTCTGTATGTGTATATGTGTGTGTGTGTCTGTATGTGTATATATGTGTGTGTGTGTCTGTATGTGTATATGTGTGTGTGTGTGTATGTGTATGTGTGTGTGTGTGTGTGTGTGTGTGTGTGTGTGTTGCTGGGGATTGAGCCCAGGGCCTCTCATGCCAGACAAGTATCCTACCACTAGCAATCCTAATCTAGATGTGATTTTTTTCTTGGGAGGGGCAATACTAGAGTTTGAACTCAGGGCCTCATATTTGTTAGACAGGTACTCTACCATTTGAGCCACTTTGGTGAATTTGAGCAATTTTGTGAATAGTGTCTCATGTTTATGCTGAGGCTGGCCTAGATCACAATCCTCCTGTTTACACTCCCAAGTAGTTGGGATAACAGACATGTGCCACCACGCCCAGCTGAGACGAGGTCTTGTGAACTTTTTGCCCCTGTTGGCTTGGAACCATGATCTTCCCAATATCTTCCCCCTCCCCTCCAGTAGCTAAGATTACAGGCATGAGATGCCATGCCTGTCCCAGATGTGATTTTTAAATATTATTTAAAAGTCACTCCAGTCGTGTTGCTATTACTACTGAAATTTTTCTCTAACACACTGTAGATTTTGCCATTTGGAATACACTCTCTGAAGACTCTGCACTAAGCTCTAAAGACATCAACTTTTTAATAGCTACTAGGAATGCTTATCAACTTAATGTTCGAATTATAAAGTGCTAGTCTTCATTTAACCCATAGACAGGTACAGTTTCTGTCAAATATACAAGTTGGCCTATTTAACACAATGCCAAACCCACTTATTCCAGTGTTTCACTTTCTACATTTTTAAATCAATCCATATGTCTTCTTCTCATTTCTTCAGAAACTAAAACTGATTTGGAAATGTGCTTCCATTTTTCTTCCTGTAACTTGTAGACACTCATTTTTTCCAACACAGAGCACAGAAGAGCTGGACAAAGCATGGTTTCCACTGCAGTTAGACTACTGCTTCCCCACCTCCCCCCCCACCTTGCCTCTGGAATATACCATCTTCCAAAACAAATGGAAAACCTGCCACTCAAAACAAGAGCTAGTACTCTCTGTTCTTCATTTCTGCTCAA